ACAACACAAGCAAAGTGTTGCCAGCCAGGAGAAGCTCTCCCAAGCCTTGGTGTCCAGGGTTTTTATTGGAGGTCATCAGGCAGTCATGCAGCATCCATGTGACTGGCTCCAGTTACTTGCTCCAGTTACTCTGTTTACAGCCCCCAGATGTCAAACTAATAGAGTATGGCCCAGGGCAAACAGATGTTTGCCACAAGTCACACTGTTAGCATAAACTAGTTTGTCAAACTGGAACAATGATGCCTGGATACAAAACACTCCATTAGGCAAAATATGCCAGGGGCATAGTCGTGGTCTACCAGTAGCTGGAAAGGACTAGTCCCCTAGAGACAGAATTTTCTTTAGAATGTACAGGGCTTGAGCAACCTGGGCTTTCTGGGATTACCCTTTACAAGGAATTTAAACTTAATCAGAAGCCTAACTGCCATTTAAAAAATATTTTTGGTTGGATATGAATGGTGATCCTAGGCAAGGTTGGTGGTAGCCATAGGCACGAATGTGCAAGGAGTTGACAGAGAGGAAGCCCACAGAAAGGAAAGGGACAGCAATGGCATCAGTTTGTTCCTAATCTGGGAGAGGACAATGAAAAGTGCCACTCTTTACCAGGTATTTACAGTGAGCCCAGTCCTGGGCTTTGGAATCTAGAAATGTTCCTTTGAACAATCACGACAGCTGTTTGGACAGGTAGTCCTCAGCTATGACATGGAAGAGGGACTGAGGCCCAAGGGGTCAGTAAGTGGTGGAGCTGAGTGAGCCCTCTCAGTTTCCAAAAACCCAGGCAGAGTATGGGCTAGAAAAATACTTGACATGATTCTTGGTTCCTAGATGTCAAAGTCGTGATAGGAAATGTGGGTATTGCATAGGAAATGTGGGTATTGCATGGGCCCATCTGAACAATCAGCCCCTTCTCTTTCTGCGCAAGCACTTGTTCCTATAGAATCAGGATATGGAAAGAGTCTGACAAGGGCTGAAGACCAGGTCTTTCTGCAGCTGGGATTTCTCAACTATCCTCAAAACATTGTCATACTAATCTATTAACCTTTTCCTGCTTCCTGATAGTCATGACAGAAAAGAAGGTTATCTGGTCACCTCTCCTCTAGAAATAGATTAGTATCTCTGAACCTGGCCATCATTTAAAAATGCACGATTTCACAGTGGGGGGTAATTTCCCACTCACATTTCTGACAGAAAACTGATTCTTCTCCTGGGACTTCTACAGAAGGCTTGGGTAGTCACTTCCCAGGAGAACTCTGGGTTTCAGATTTGGTCTGAGTCATCCAAACCACCTGGGGAATGTTAGCTAACTGGTAGAGGGAAAAGGGAAAGAGAAAGAAAGCAGTGTGTTCAAACATAAGGTTAAATAAATGTATGATGAATCCCATGATTGGTTTTTGACAAATGCTTCTTTCAACAGTGCCTGGCACATGTTGGCTCTAGCACAGAAAGAATTGGGGTGTCTCTGAGCTGGGACCCTGTCGTGCCCCACCCAAGGAGTTCTTGGTGAACAGGTAGGTACAAGCACAAAGCATACAGCTGGTCTCTTTCCAGCAGACCCTGACAGGAAACAAAAAACTTTTTCCTCAAGGGCACTACAGGCCTTTTTAGCAGGCCATGGTGCCACAGACTGGCATTAGAGAGAATAGCTCTCTGGTACTTTATGCTGAGTTTTTGAAAGAGCAAAAGCCAGATTCCCCAGGATCCCGGGAATTGGGGCTGCTCGATTTATTTCAGGAGATCAGGCACAGAGTTTCTCCTTCATTTGTGCATGTTGCTGGCACTGGCGTCCAGGACACTTTCCGGTCTGACCCTGATCCCTGCCCTATGACCCCTGAGCCTGAGAGGACAGTCCAACTCTGACAGACCAGCCACACACCTATGCACACTGTGGACAACAGGTGCCGCTATTCTTATTCCGAGTAGCTTAACGAAGTGGAAAGCGTGGCTTGGGGAGGATAGAGGGACACACACTCCCCAGAGTGCACAGTGATGAGGAGGGCCAGCCGGTTAGGAGAAGGAAAAGGGAGAGAGAGCTTTGACCTCAGAGCAATGGGAAGGAGCAGCGGAAATAGCCCGCTTGCCTCATGCAGCCCGGGGGGGGGGGCCCTCCCCAACCTTTCGTGAGAGTCGCGGAAAATGGTCGCACGCTCTTGTCGCTCCATCTCTCCTCAGGCAGAATCACGTCAGACTCTTTGTCAGACTCATTGGCGCTATGTTGGTCATTGGTGGAGGGGGAAGAGGGAAGCACTGCTCCTGCGCGTGCGCCGCGCTCCGACCTCAGGCTCCGGCTTGACAGGGTAACGGAGCGGAAGTGCTCTGTTGCTCCCGAGGGCGGTGGGAGTCCCGCTGCTTGTTGTTCTCTGCCGTAAGATGTCGGTTCCTGGGAACAAAGTAAGGGAAGGCAGAGTTGGAGAAGCGTTCGATGGGGACAGTTTGAGGGTTATGGGGTGATAGGTTTGCGTTCCTGGGGGTAACAGGGAAGGGATGGGGTGACAGTGGCCGGGCGGTCTGCGGAGTTCAGCGAGTGATTGAAGGATTCATCGAGCGACTCTTACTGAGTACCTAGTAAATGCTAGGCACCACTGAGTTTCACATTAATTCTCATAATAATCCTGTGAGTAGATACTACAATTATCTTCATTTTATAGAGAAAAAGGAAAAAACAGAAAAGCTTGGGAACCTGTCCATAGTCACACAGCTAGTAAACCGGAGGACTCTTTTTTATCTCTTTTTTACTGTCTAGCACTTTGCCTTTCTAATATACCTAAATCTGTTTATCAAATTTGTTACTCTCTTGTCTCCTCTTCTAGAATATAGTTCCACAAGATCAGGAAACTCTGATACTTTGTTCTCTGATGTATCTCCAACATGAAGAAAGTAGAACAGGCACATAGTAGGCACTCGCCTTTTTAGTTAAATAAAAGTGGCAGAGCACGCAGTCAGTTTGGTTCCAGAGCCCAGACTGTTCTGAAGTAAGGCAGTGTTTAGCTCCTGGTCTGGTGATAATTGAGCGCTTACCAAATGTTAATACCTAAAACTAGAATGAGGTACTGTGCCTCCTGGTTTCCAGTAAAACACTTGGGTTTTCCTCAACTTTACTCCATCACAGAGGTTACTAATTGCATCTCTTGTGTGGTTGTCTTTCCAGGGTCAGGGTACATAAGTGAGACCACTGCTCACCAACTTCAGACTCCAATTTATCTGACCTGAGCTTCTTTAGTCTGAGGCCTTAGGAGTTGAGTTCCCCAGGTCAGAGACAGATAGATAATATGCTGCTGAAGTGATGGTCCCAGCTAAGATGTATTTGTCTTTGAACCCTTTGGTCCTGCCTCCTCAGGAACCAGAGAGGTCCTGTGAGGGGAATTAGAAGAGAAGCACCAGCAGAGAGCCCAGACCCAAATGCTCAGGGAAGAGAGAGGAGTCTCACAGGACAGCAGGTGGCCTCTGCCCCTCCCTCCAGCTGAGAGAGCATGATTGGCATTCTGGATCAACTTCCAGCCATACTGAAGGACTGGGCCATTGGACCGCTATTGGAGAGATAAAAGTTGGAGATGAATGGAGGGGTGCTGCCATAAAGGAGGTACCTTGCTGTAGTGCCTGTGAGGTCAGAATTAAGCTAGGAAGGATCACTACCAGCTTTACAGGGCTTTCTCCTCTCCTGACACACCTGTGCACACAGCATTATGCTCCCCTCTTTTGCCTTTCGCTATTTCTGGATTTGAGTCAGTCTGGTGGTATGAACATCCCACCTACCTCTAGCAGAAATGTTGATTCTCTTCTACCCTGCCTAAAGTGCAGAATAGGTTTTTTAAAATTTGTTTTCAATTCCTTTTTGCTTTCAATTTCAGACTCCTTGCTAGGTATGCTATCACCCAGTTCTGCTGCCTTCTGTTGATGCTACTGTATCTGAGCCTGACAACATGGCTTGTTAAACTACAGGTGCTAAACCCTTTTGTCTCAATGCTGCCACAGGGATTGCTACAGTAATAATGGTTACTCTGCACAAAAGTTCCTTTCCAAAACTTTCTTTTCAAAACTGCCCAACAAGGAAGAACATGGCAACCAAATGGAAATCACGGGAAAGGGGGAAAGGATGGGACGGGAACAGAACAGTGGTGGGCCAGTGAAGGGCAAGGTCAGTGGTTTCCAGCTCCATTGGAACTGACTGGTGCTGAGCTCCTCACTTCCTAGCCTTCTCAGCCCCGGTTTTTCTCTTTCCTCCAAACCACAACAAGATGTCCCTGTCCTCCAGACTTTTCTCAGGGTCTATCACCTATAGGGCTCAGTGTAATAATCAGTGATTTGTAATAATTTTAAATTTTTATTTGACTAGTAATTAATACTCATTGTCAAAAATGAGAAAATACAAGTAAACAAAAAGGAAAGGTGAGGTCACTGAAAGGTAACTGTCAACATTTTAGCAAATGCTCTTCCTGACTGATCTCCCTTAGAACATACATACTGTCTAACAAATGGGATCACACTGCAGTTGCTTTTTTGTATTCTGCTTTTAAACATGTTAAGAAGTGAAAACAAGATGCCACAGCATTTTTTAAACCCATGTGGTATTCCTATTTGTTTTTCTTACTTTTGAGTGGAGTCCCCTTTGCTAGAGGTTTATTTAGTTGATTCCAAATTTTTGAATGGTAGAAACACTTGTCTTTGCTTTTTTATGATAAGTTTCCAGGAATAGAATTATTGAGAGAAAGGAGGTACCAGATTATTAACAGCTTCTGAGTAGATGTTTTTAAGCACAAGTTATACATCTATCCAAGAAGCAAAATAAATAAATAAATAAAAATTCATGTACAAAACCCACATGTGCTTAGCAGCACCTCAAGGAAATAGGCTGGCATTACCAGACCATGTTTCCAGATCATTCTACCCAGGGTGCAAGGTGATTATTGTTATGTTGGTGATGATGGTCTCATGACTGTATGCATTGATCTTGACTCCTAATTCTGCCTTTGTAGATCTTCAGTCTTTGTCCAGGGAAGAACAGGATGGCCATGTCCCAGGTGAGTTCCTCATTTACCCCCTACTTTGTTTCTAGTGAGATTGAGGCAGCTTTGGTGAAACTATAATGTAACCTTGAAACATCTGTTAATACCCTCTGCTGTGGCTGTTTTCTGTTCAATCTATAATCCACCTCAGGTTTCTCCAATCCTTACCCTCCCCACAAAAAATGAATAAGAAAAGATAGCCCTGACTGGTGTGGCTCAGTGGGTTGGGTGTCACTCTGTGGACCAAAAGGTCACAGGTTTGACTCCCCATCAGGGCACATGCCTGGGCTGCAGGCCATGTCCCTAGTTGGAGTGTGCACAGGTAACCCATTGATGTTTCTCTCCTGCTCTTTCACCAACTTTCCCCTTTCTCTAAAAAGAAATAAGTAGATCTTTTAAAAAATAATAATAAAAAATAGAAAGACAGACTTTTCTCATCTGCTTCTTCTCTGGGAAATTCACCTCATCTTTGTTCTTTTTCTTTTCTAAGGACATTGTTTAAATACATAGACTCATCTTGCTTCTTCCATCTCCTCATTTCCCGTTCACTTTTGCTTTTTCATTATGTTTAAAATAATGAAAGTAGCCCCGGCTAGTGTCCCTCAGTGGAATGAGCGCCGGCCTGTGAACCAAAGGGTCACCGGTTCGATTCCCAGTCAGGGGACATGCCTGGGTTGTGGGCCAGGCCCCAGTAGGGGATGTACGTGAGGCACCCACACATTGATGTTTTCTCCCTTCCTTTCTCCCTCCCTTCCCCTCCTCTAAAACTAAATAAAATCTTTTTTAAAAAGTAATTAAAGTAAATTCATGCTTAATGTTTTAATATTCATGTAAAATTGTAGCCAAAGCATCCCCATTTCTTTTCCCTCACCCCCAGTACCACGTTCTTCCTCAAGATGCCCACTGTTAACAATTTGGTGATAGCATGGTGTGGATGCATTTTAACAGTTAAATTAACTAAAAACAGATACATATGTAATGTTGTCTGTGTTTTTGCACCAATGCCATCCTGCCACCATACCCATCTCGCTTTTTCCACCAGATTATATTCTGAGTGGTGCACCTCATCAGTACAGAAAGATTATTTCAGTTCCTATTTTGTGGCATGAATGTATCACTTAACCTTTTTTCTATTCATAGATACTTAGATTTTTAATTCTCTTTTTCTATTAGAAACAGTGCCTCTTGAACAACTTTCTATGTATCTATTTGTCCATTAGTGCAGGTATTTATGGAGAATACTCCTGGAAGTTGGAATTTTAAGACAAAGGTATTCACCCTTCAAGTACACCCTCCCAAATCGTAGATAATTACTACTTTCACAAAATTTTAAAGGCCAGGTCATTTGTATGTTCAACTTTTCCAGACTCTTGAAAGATGAAAAGGAATCCAATTCATTGTATGAAGCCACTTAACCTTAAATTTGAAGGAGATACTACGACATAAATTATAGGCTATTTTTCAGTTAAGAATATGCATACTAAAATTCTAAAAAACGTATTCTGAATAGAGCCTTAATAAGTTGAATTGAACATTTTAAAAAGTAATTTGTACACGATAAAAATTCATACAAAAATGTTGTTCAACAAATGGTGAAATATAATTCTCCCTCTCACCAATTGTCCCCGTCTCCTTCATTTTTATACATTCTTCCAGGGATCAAGTATGCATGTCTATCTATCTTGATATAAGAATCCCTTTTCCTTTTTATTTCTTTTTCACAGATTATAGCACATTCTGGTCCTTTTTATGATCATTCCTCTTCTCTGTGTATTTGGTCAGCCCCAGGTTTTCCCAAGTCAGGACTCTTGACATTTTAGGCCAGATAATGCTGTGTTGTGGAGGGCTTTCATGTACATTGGAGGATACTTAGCAACATCACTGGCTGCTATCCTCTTGATGTCAGCATCCCCACCATGTTCCCCTTGTCATGACAATGAAAATTTTTCGCAGACATTGCCAAAATATTCCCTGGAGGACGAAATCACTCAAGATTGTATCCCATTTACAAAGTGGCTGATTGATATCCCACTGGTTGGAAATACCATTATATGTGTATTTTCTTCCAGGGATGTACATTTAGGATATTTCTAGCCTTTTGATGCCATAAACAATATAGCAATACATATCCATGTACATTTCAGTTTGTATTCATATCTTATCTGGAAGATAACTTTTTAGAGGTGAGAATTCTAGGTGAAAGGCTGTGCATCTTGAATTTTGACAGCTTAGGGCTTCTAAGCCAGGTGGCTCCTTGTCCTTACCAGTATGATCATGATCCCTAGCACCTGAGCTGTCATTTGGGAGGGGTAAGAGAAAGGGGTCAGCTGCTCTGAGAACTCCTGCTGGCAATACATGCCAGTCAGTGCCCTTCTACACACTGTTTTCTGTCTCATAGCCTTCTGCAAAGCTGAGTAAAACTGATGTCATTTAATGCCTATTGCGTCTTTGTGAGTGCAAAATGTGTCCTTGAATTCAAGACCACCCAATGTCTGTGTGGCAAGATCAGATCCAGAGTGTAAATAAGTAGGTCATTGGTCTTTGATAGGAATTTCAGCACTTAAAAAGCAAATTTTTGTTTGATGGTGACAAGCCAAACATAGATTTTCCTTTTTTACCTCAATCTGCTGACCAGGCCAGACACATACCCTCTGGCTTCCTGTTGTGTGTCTCATGATTGATTAGGTAAGATTAGAACAATTGGTCGTTGTAAAGGAAAAACCCAGTTCAGTCTCCCTCTGTGTAGGGGAAAACCCAGTTCTTCCCCACTGTGTCTTTTTTTCCTATGTTTCTCCTATGTGTATTATTCACTACTCACACACAATACTTTACTTCTGACACTTCTGGTCACCAAATGGGTGGAGGTTTTTCCCCAAGCAAGCAATTCTCTGTCATTGTGTATCTTACAATTTAACTCAATTTTAACACTAGCTACCTGGAGATACTGTCCAATCCCACAAGTTAAGGGCTCAGTCCCATAAGACTGTCCCCTACATGTGTGCTTCTGACCAACTAGCTGTATATCCTGGAGGTTCCAGTAACTCCCCATCTTGGTTAATTTGCTAGAGTGGCTCACAGAACTCAGGTCAACATATAAAGGATATGATAAAGAGTACAGACGAACGTTCAAATGAAAAGATACATGCATTGAGGTCTGGTAGAGTCCTGAGTACAGAAGCTTCTGTCCTCATGGAGTTAGGGTGTGGCACTCTGCTGGTATATGGATATGTTCACTCACCTGGAAGCTTCCTGAATACTACTGTAGGAATTTCTTCAAAGCTTCCTCACATACGTATGATCAATTATTAGCACTATTTCCAACCCTGCTTCTCTCTCTGGATGATGATGGTTGGGGCTGAAAATTTCAAGCATCTAATCACGGCTTGGTCTTTCTGGTGACCAGCCCCCATTCAGGAGCCAATGAAAAGTAACCTCATTAAAACAAAAGATGTTCCTAGTGCTCTTATCACTTGGGAATTTACAAGGGTTGTAGGAGCTCTGTGCCAGGAATCAGGGGCAGAGACCAATATATATATATTTTCTCTTATGTCACAGTCATGATTGAGTAGCTGTGTTTAGAACTGTTTATTCTAGTTTTATATCTTCTGCAAAGTCTTCTTTGTCAACCCAAAGGAGAATTGACTTTTTCTTCCCCTCTATTCCTAGTCCTACCTCTGTCATTGCTGTCTGAAGATAGGCAGCCCTCCCTCTTTTCCTCCCTCCCTCCCTCTCATATATGAGTTCTAAGTGTTCTTTTGCCTCTGCTATTCTGAAGCTCCTTCAGTTCAGGAGGTCTTTGTTTTTATTAATCTTTACATCCTCAGAATTTAGCTTGGTCACTCTTCAATGAATATGTGTTGAAAGAATGAATTTCCAGGGTAAGATATTTCTAACACTTGATCAGATTTTTTCATAAAATTTAAAATAATTTTGATACATAAACAGTCTGGGTAATGAACAGTATAAGAACAATTATATAGAGAAAGGCAATGCAGTATCGTGTTTAAAAATGTGGGTGTGGATACCAAACCACATGGATTTTAATCCCTAATTTCTTGGTGTATGACCTTGGGTGAGTAACTTTACACTCTGTGTACCTTACTGTCTTCATCTGTCAGGGCTCTGGGTAGGGGCAAGAATCGAAATACTTAGGACGGACACAGAGTAGGCACTTGATATACATTACATATGTCCATTCCCCTGAGCCTATCACTTTGGGCTAAAGAAGAATGTGCTGTTGTAGGAATCATTGACCTTCAGGGATGTGTTTGTGGACTTCACCCTGGAGGAGTGGCAGCAACTGGACTTTACTCAGAAGAACCTTTACAGGGATGTCATGCTGGAGAACTACAGCCACCTAGTCTCTGTGGGTGAGGGACCGCTCCATGGTATGACTAGAACACCTCCCTTTCATGTCTCTCCCTTGGCTGCTGCACGCTCAGGGGTGTTTGAAGCCCTAAATTAGTTTGGGCCTAAGGCTCACTGTCAAGAATTCATAATCCCATTTGCCCCCTGTACAGTATGTTTGTGCTTTCACCTTCAATGTGAATATTCTACATGAGTGGCAAATAGCTGTGCACAGGGGACAGTCACTGAGGCCTGACTATCTTTAGCCTGCAAGGATGGGCCTCGGCTCTGGAATGCCTTCATCATTAATAAAGAAGTCCTGTGTCATTTTCCCTCCATAGGATACCTGATGGCTAAACCAGATGTGATCTTCAGGTTGGGACAAGGAGAAGAGGGCAAGAGGGCAGATGGAAGACCCACAATGCAGAGCGATCCAGGTGAGCATGTGCCAGCCAGCCAGGACAGGACAGAGGGAATCCAGCAGAGCAGTGAGAGCTTGGCATTGGGGGCATGCCCAGGAGCTTTTCTCAGAATCCCAACATGAAGGACACAACTCAGGTCTAGTGAAACAAGTTTCTGTGATATACATAGGATATCCCCACTTAATGCCCTTGTATAGGCCCCTTGTTCTTGTTGGGGGTTCAGACAGAGTGAAGTCACTGCTGTTTCTTAGAACCCATCTCTACCTCTGGCATCCTGGTTTGCTAGTGAGAAGTGCCAAGCCTTTTCTCCTGCCTTTTCCTTCCTTTCTGAAAGCTAGGGCTTTCCCCTTTCTTGGGTGTTTGCATTTTCATCAGAAGTGAAGTAGATGCAGGCATGATGTTTCCTGTTTATTTGCTATATGGTGAGCCCTTTAAGTCAAAACTTGGAGTCTTGTCTTCAAGCTCAAGGAAATGGTCCTATCTGGTTTATTAGAGTTGACGTGGACAAAAAAAGCTTTGTGAGTGACATTCAACTCTACCAGGCCCAGTACCCACATGTCCCTGTCTCCCCTCACAGTGTGAATGAACAGTGTCAGTATTCACACAGGTCTCTTTTCTCATTTCCTCTCAGACTCTTCCAAAGCTGACTTGATGCTGCCTGGTTTCAGATTCCTCCTCTTAGTACTTCCTTCCCATCAAATCTTTTTTTTTGTACTATCCATTTATTAAAAAAATAAATAAAAATAAATAATTCAGTGAGCCATCCCTCAGTCCTAGGCAGAGCTGTTCTTTTCCTTGTCTGTTTGGGGTTTTTTGTTCGTTTGTTTTTTGTTTTTGCTCTGTGCCCCTTATGGGTATTCAGACACTCTTTAGATGTTAGTCTTCCTCTTTTTCTCACCCACTCACAGTGGTTACTCAATGTGCCCATGCCAAAGAAGTCTATCTAGAATGTTGCTATTATTCTGTGTGGTTCATAGACCAGCAACATGAGCATGGCCCAAGCTCTAAGTAGAAATGCAGACTCCTGGGACAACCTCAGATTGAATGAACCGGAATCTGTTTTTCAACAGCTGTTAAAATTAGTGTCAGAGCTCCAGCTGTAGCCAGACACTGGCCCAGCTGATGCCAGGTGATTCCTAGGTGCCTTCCCCAGAGCCCGCGCCTACTGGGCAGAGGCATCCTCTCTCTCAGAGCCTCCCTGTGCAGGTGTGCACCCACCTTCCTGTAGCTACTCCCAGGGACATTTTGGACTTCAATTTCCTGTTTATTGCTCATTTATTCCCATATTTGCTGCCTTGTAAAGATCCGCCAGGATTTCTGGTCTGCTAGTGGCATGATTTTCCCTACTTCCAGTGTTTCCAGGGATTTTAAATGACCGTGAATCTCATTGTCATTTCAGTGGTATCCTGGAAGGAGGAAAAGCAAACTAGAGGCACAGTCCAGCTTTGGAGTCCCACTTCCCCTGTACAAAAACTACGATATTAAAAGTAATAGGGGCTCACGTTATGTAGTAGTGCAGAACAATATATTATTCAGAGTCATTCTACTGCATTCACAGTCACACCTCCAAGTGCAGCCTCTTCTCATGGTTTCTGTTTTTTAATTCTTCTGATGAGCCCCTCTCTAGGTTCGGGGAATACCGTCACACCTGGATTTCTGGAGCTTTCAGTTTTAGCTCCCTTCTATGAAAGATAAGGATTTAGCTCAAACATTGGCCCTCTGTTCCCCAGCTCTTTCACAATTTTTGTTAAATTTTTATTTTTATTGTCTTTATTTTACTGATTCTTTGTTATTCTGAATGATTATGGATTATATCCTAGATACTGGTGATTGTTTTGGTTTTTTTTTAATATTTGTTTATCATGAAATAAACCTGGTTAGATTCAAACTACTAGTCTTGTCTCACCTGTGGATGTTGATTCCAGTCAGTTTAGTTTTCAAAGCCTTTGCTCTGTTCCTTTGGATCTGTGTTGAGTATGTACCACTCAAGGGTTAATGGGACACTTGGGCGGTGGTTTAAGTCTTTGTGCACTTTTCAAAGCCTTTACTGTCCTGCTTCAGGTTTATCTCATGCACATGTCACTCAGATGTTACTCTCAGACATCATCTGTGGTTCGAATCTTAGTTAAGTTCAGTTCTTAAAGGTTTGTATGACCCTTTGCTTTCCTTGTATGCATAGCCCTGGATGAGCTCATATCTTATAGAGGTTCATATGCAATTGGGAGGTTCAGATTTCAATTTTCTTGAATTTTTTGAGGTTTGTTTTGTGTCCTATCATGTAGTCTATCTTTGAGAATGTTCCATATGCATTTGAACAAAATGTATGTTTTGCTTCTTTGGTGTGAGAGGATACACACACACACACACACATATGTATATGTGTATATATGTGTATACACACACACACACATATATATATCAGTTAAGCCCATTTAATCTAGTGTGTTGTTCAGTGACACAATATCTTTGTTGATATTTTGTTTGGAAGATCTATCCATTGTTGACAGTGGAGTGCTAAAATCCCCTACACTATATGTGCTGCTGTCTATCTCTTTCTTGAAATCCTCCAAGACTTTCCTTATATATTTGGGTGCTCCTATGTTGGGTGCATATAGGTTTACAATGTTTATGTCTTCTTGATGGATTCTTCCCTTGAGTATTTTGAAGTGTCCTTTGGTGACTCTTTTTATGGACTTTGTTTTGAAATCTATTTTGTCTGATATAAGTATCGCTGCCCCGGGGGCTTTTTCCTGTCCGTTTGCTTGCAATATTTTTTCCAACCCTTCACTTACAGTCTGTGTAGGTCTTTTGTTCTGAGTTGGGTCTTTTGTAGGCAGCATATATACGGATCATGTTTTCTTATCCATTCAGCTACCCTATGTCTTTTGATAGAAGCATTTAATCCATTTACATTTAAGGTTATCATTGATAGGAACTTATTCACTGCCATTTTCCCCCTTTGTGTCTGTGTTCCTCTCTCTCACTCTTTTTCTTCATCTTAAAGCAGTCCCTTTAGCGTATCTTGCACTGCTGGTTTGGTGGAGGTGTATTCTTTTAGCCTTCTTTTGTCTGGGAAACTCCTTATTTCACCTTCCATTTTAATTAAGAGCCTTGCTGGGTAGAGTAGTCTTGGTTGCAGGCCTTTGCATTCATTTCTTGCCATTCCTTTCTGGCTTGTAGTGTTTCTGTTGAGAAGTCAAATGCTAGCCTCATTGGAGCTCCCTTGTATGTTACTTCCTGTTTTTCCCTTGCTGCCTTTAAGATTCTCTTTTTGTATTTCAGTTTTGCCATTTTAATTATGATGTGTCTTGGAGTGGACCTCATTGGGTTCCTCGTGAATGGGACCCTCTGTGCTTCCTGGACTTGTGTGACTTTTTCACTCCTCAAATTAGGAAAGTTTTCCATCATTACTTTTTCAAACAGGTTTTCTATCCCTTGCTCCTCTTCTTCTCCTTCTGGTATCCCTATTATCCAGATATTATTACGTTTCATGTTGTCCTTCAGCTCCCTTAATGCATCTTCATTTTTTTTTCCTTTTCTTGCTCTTTCTGGGAATTTTTTTCTACCTTGTCCTCTAGCTTGCTGATTCAATGCTCTGCTTCATCTAGCCTGCTTTTAATTCCTTCTACTATGTTCTTTAATTCAGAAATTGTATTCTTCATTTCCTTCTGGCTCTTTTAAATAGTTTCTATGTTCTTTTTCATGCTGATGGAGTTCTCAGCAAGTTCCTTGTAGCTTCCCTGTAGTTTTTGGTAATTCTCACTGAACTCATTGAGCTTCCTTATAACCATTGTTTTGACTTCAATATCTGATAGTTTACTTTCATCTACTTAATTTAGCACTCTTTCTGAGGATTCCTCCTTTCCTTTTGATTGAGGGTTATTTCTTTGCCCTCCTATTTTTTGGGAGACTCTTCTTTTCTTCTTCTTTTTAAATTGATCTGCTTTGACTCCCTGTATTTGTGGTGTGAACTTCTATGGTAGGAGACCTGTGTGATTCAGTGGTGCAGTCTCCTTGATCTCCTGAACTTGATGCTCCTGGGATGTCCTTTATGCCATTTATGTTGTCTCTCTGGATGTAATTGGGTTTTGATTGGTGTTGGGTCTTTCTTTGAGGGGTCCTTCCCTCCAACTAGCTGACTGTGCACCAATCCGCCCACCATGTCTTATATGCTGTTGTGCAGGTGCTGCCAGAACAAAGCCCAGGAAACAAACTCACACTTGCAAAAATAACTCCCACCCACAATCCCAATATCAACAGCAAGTGAACCAGTATTAATAAAGGTGTAAAGAGATTAAGATGATTAAAAGAAAGGAGAGGGAATATGAGATGACCTACTGAAAGAAAAAATGATTTTGAGAGGATACAGGGAAGAGCACTAGTAAGAGTTGGGAATCAGAGAAAAGCAAACAGAGTAAGTAAAATTTACATCATTAATAAGAAAGGGAATGAAGAAGGCAAAATGGAGTAAGAGAAGGGAAGCATTAGGTTTAAACAGAAAACAAAATAAAATGAGAGAAAGAAAACATTAAAAAAGTAAATAAAAATAAAAAATAGGAACCAAATTGGAGAGAAAGATCCACTACAGCACTATCAACAACAAACAAGCTAAAATTAATATATGTGGGATGGGAATAAGAGGGGGGAAAAGAAAGAAAAGCTTAAGAAATGTCTAGAGGAAAGGGAAGTGATTTTGAGATGATAGAGGGAGAGAGAATACTAAGAGTGAGGAACGAAAACCAGGCTAAGACAGGGAAAAATTAAAATTTGAAGTTAAAAAAGAAAAAAGAAAAAAATGAGAAAAAGGGTAAAGTGAAAGATAAAAAAATAAGAAACAGGCTAAGACAGGGCAAAATTAAATTTTGAGACAAAAAGAGGGTAGAAGAGGGGAACAGTAAAATTTGAGATTCGAAATACAAAATTAGCAAAGATCTAGAGATAAAATTGAAAAAACACAACAACTACCCTACCTACAACCAATGAGTACAAATTGCTAAAGGTGGAGAGATAATACA